TGAGATTCCACTTATAGGAGATGTCTAGAGTAGTCAAATACATAGAGACAGAAAGTAAGGTGGTGGATACCAGGAACTGGGGGAAGGGGAAATGGGGAGTTACTGTTTAATGGACGCAGAGTTCCAGTTTGCAAGATGAAAAGTTCTGGAGACTGATTACACAACAATAGGAGTATATTTACATTACTGAATTGTATATTTAAAAATGATCAAGATAAATTGTATGTTACGTGTATTTCACCACAATTATTTTTTTAGTTTAACTAATTATATGATTAGTTCCATAATTACTTGGGAAATCAAGGGATACCAATAATTATGGATTATCACCATTTCCTTCTCTTCCCTTTGATCCCAGATGGGGCTTTTTGGAGTCCTGAACATACAAATGTTTATATTTGTGTTTCCTCTTTTGAAACAATGTGGCCTCTAAAGTATCAAATGAATGCCCTTGTTCTTGGCTTCCAGCCAAATCTCTACCACATATCTGGCTAACTAGTTGTTCATCTTATTGAACAGGCTAGCCTACTATCAGACAAGTATCTCTGGGGACAACCTACGTATCAGTCATTCACATAACAGACGGAAGCCTTCAATCATTGGGATTTCTTTCTAGCTAAGATAAACATAAGGAAGGGATTTTGAATGGGAGAAGTGAGCGAAAAGGAGAAGAGTGATTTCAGAACTTGTTTTGGAGGAAGAAAGATCTAGAATGGGCATCACCATCAAGATGGGGTAAGGGTAGCATTGAACAGTAAGAGGGCAGCAGGGTCACTGGGCACCTAGGGCTGGGAGTTAATCAACTTGGAGAGGGGATGAGGGGAGACACAATGACAGGGAATATCAAAAAGCATTTTACAGACGGGAATTTTGTCAAGTTCAGTGGAACTCCTATATAGTTTACTCATTGGCATCTGCACTGGAGAAATGGAGAATCACTCCCCAGACACATAGGTTTGCTGTGGGAAGAAGGGCCTGGGAGCACCTTTGGAAGAGATGCTCATGATCCAGCTTCCCTGGCTAAACTGTGTCTGAGGTAGAATAGAGGGAATTCCTAAGAGGAAGGGAGGAGGCTGAGGGAGGAGGCACTGGCAAGGGGGAATTAGGCCAATAATACTGCCCTTCTGGCTCTCTCTTCCAAGAGGCTCAGAGTCCTTCACAGATGATAACCAATCTTACCTCACTGCAGCCCAAAGTGGACCTCGCAAAGGACACAAAGGAAAAGAGAGTAAAGAGGTAGCTTTCCTCATTCATATTCACTACACTGGCTCTTTCCCTTCACCAAAACCTAACATCCCAGCCCAAGCCACACCCATTTTTTCTGGTGATTACCTGCTATCACCTGTAAATGCAAATGCAGACACCCATGTCTCACAAGCCACATGGCATCTGGGTTGAGGAAGCCTGTTCCCTCCTTTCCCAAAGCCTTGCTAGAGGAACAGCAGACACCCTGCTACAGGTGGACAAAGCCACTTCTGACCAACCATACATTAACAATACCTATAAATACAGATTCAGGGGAAGAAAGTGGTGCAAATCAGGGACCCCAGGGCCCACTCACTCTAGTTCTCCTCCTCTCTTGTCCCAAGGCTTCAGACAGGAATGCACTGAGATGCTGGCAGTCACATTGCTCATTAGCTGAAAATTAAGTGATGGCTACTCAAGTCAATCAAAATGGTGGGCCCAACTGTGCTTTTGAAAATCACCATTGTTATACACACACACACATACACTCCAAATACCTTTTCTCTCTTGTATAGACATGAAATATTCAACCACTGTAAGTACTGATCCCGGTAAGTGCTCTTAGTCATGAATGAAACCAATCCCATAGGAACATGTTGCCTTATGTGATAAGGCAAGACTGAATGAAAATTCAGGGAAGGCTGCAGAAAAACCAAGCAGAATCATCTTCTGTTGCTAATAACTGGGCAACTAAAGCAAATGTGGGTGTTACGGAGGCTAAAAGTGGCTGGGGTTCTGGTTGGGGATTTCCTCTTCAAACTCCCCCTCCATGCACCCTAGGTTTACAATTTCAAATGTCTATTAAAATCAGGGAGTGTTCGGGGTGCCTGGGTGGCTCAGTCGTTAAGCGTCTGCCTTCAGCTCAGGTCATGATCCCAGGGTCCTGGGATCCAGCCCAGCATTGGGCTCCCTGCTCAGTGGGAAGCCTGCTTCTCCCTCTCCCACTCCCCCTGCTGTGTTCCTGCTCTTGCTATCTCTCTCTATGTCAAATAAATAAATAAAATCTTTAAAAAAAAATCAGGGAGTGTTCAAACAAGAAGCTGATGATCAAACATCTAAGCTTCCAAATGGACAGGAAAAGAGATGTATTATTCAACCCAATGAAACTTTGCCTTTCAAACCTGAGTTTTAATTCACTGCCATTATTATAGGGGTTGCCATTCTCAAGCTCTGTCCCTTGATCTGCCATTTTAAAAATAATCCCTTCCTTATCTCAAGGCATTTTTCTGCTCCCTTTAGGACATTAGGATTACCAGCACAACTTGTTAAAGATGAGGATACTCACACAACCATGAGGCTGTATGATCATGGTTTGGCCCTCATCTAATGTATTCACCTGGGAAAGTATTTCACACTCCCTCATGTTTCAATATTTGTTACATTATTTAAAACTTTTGCTTCAGTTGTCTGATCACTTGAATTCAGGTGAGTTTTCTGGATTAAGTTCTTTGGGTTGACTCATAGTGAAATACAGATATCAGGTACCTCCTATATGAATAAATCAGAGGACAGAGCTGGGGGAGGAGGAACAATTAAGTAATTAATTGCCCCACCTTTTGAAAATGACAGTAAATGGTTTATCTTTCCTAGAATTGGTGCAATAAAAGTCAAAAGCTGCAAAACTCTATGCTGTGTCAGGAAACGGTAACGTGTTCCAGCCATTATCACCAACTCCTTAATTGTTCTCCATGCGTTCACCATAAGCACACAACCTGAATACTAAATAAATGTTGGTGGACTCACTCAGGGAATAGGTAGAGACCACTCCCAACTACTCTGAACACCCCTTAAGAAGAAATCACCTTGAACTTTTTATAGCTAACCTTCTCCCTGCCCCACAAGGCAAGGCACACAATAGGTATTCAATTATCAATCATTGACTGATTTCTCCTCTTCACCAGTGGGCATGGGAGAGAAACAGCAAACAAGTATTAAAACATTTCACACTGTAATTCATCGGTTGAGAAATTAAGGATGTGGAAAAAAATGCACAAGTATGAAGGTCACCCTGATAAAGAAAAAAATGCGAGAAGACTACCGCACTTAAAATGCACACCGTCCACAAGGGCCAGAGATAACAAATATCTTCTAAAATCAAGGTTTGCCAAATTGGCCTTCTTTGTTTCTCCATTAACACGGTATAGGGGGGTCTAGCCCCTCTTTGACAATCTATTCAAAATGTGAGGGATTTTCCCCTTTTCTTTTCTTTTCACCCTTTGAACATAATCCACTAAGTCTCCATCCCCAAAGCACCTCCCAAATAGTGGCAGGGGGGGAGCACTCTGGGAAGCCCTTGCTGAGATACTTAGCGGAACTTTGTTCTCCACATGGGCTATTTGGAGCGTCTCGGGTTCCTTGGGTGACTCCACAGCCTCCCTCGTTTCACGCGGCGAACAGGAGTAGGGCGAGGAGATCCTCCCAGGCGGTCCGCGGAGGCGCTGACCATGGTCCTGGCCTCCGAGCTCCGGACGCGAGCGCGGAGGGCGAGGGAGAAGGTATCGTGGGAGAGCGCGCAGGGCGCGGCGGGGAGCTGCTGTCGAAGCCCCCGCCCCTCCCGAACCCCGGGGAGCCTTCGGGCCTGCATGCGAACCCTCCACTGCACGCTCCGAGATGCATCAAAAAAGGGTGGGGCACTCAGCCACAACTGCAATCGGAAGCCGCCCGGAAGGATTTAAGAAGAATGGAATCGGTTCAACCCTCCCCCACACCACCATACGACCCCCAACCGGGGATCGGTTCATCCGTTACCCCCACCCCCCACCTCCCAGGCCCAGGGAGGCTCTGGCAGCCTTTGTGGGCGCGTAGCCGCCCACCGCCGAGCCCGAGCCTCTCCGCACCCTGTACGTAGAAGGGGCAAGTAGGGTGGGGTGCATGTACAGATTTGAGGATGCAATATTCAAGCAAGGCAGGACGGTGGACCCGCTGGGATCCTCGGTTCTCCACCGAGCTGGAAGGGGGACGAGGGAGGGGCGACCCCGCATCTGGTCCTGCGTCTCGAATACCCCCCCACCCCCATACCAACCTGGTCGTAGATGTTCTGCAGGGCTTCCTTGCCCGAGGCCCGCCGGATCTCCACCTTCCGGCTCGATTCAACAGATGGCTCCCCGCCGGCGCGCCGGCCCTGCCGGGAGTACGGCGGCTGAGGGTCCGGGCCCAAGTGGGCGACGTCCCGCTGCTGAGCCACCACCTGCCCCGAGCCCCGGCCCACAGACAACGAGTCGAAGTCGATGGTCTTGTTCTCGGAGGACCCTTCCACCGGGCAGAACATGCCACAGAATTTCTGCCGGGGCTTGGGGCTGCCTGAGCCCAGGTTTTTAAAAAAGGCAGGGACTTCTTCGTCCTCTGCCGGCTTCCCGGATTGCTTCCTCTCGGCCATGGCGCGGGAGCTCGGGGAGGGTCCTCTCCGTCCGTCCGTCTGCCGGTCCCTAAATCGGTCTCTCAGTGCACAAACCCCCTGGTTGCTGCCGAGGCTGCCGCTCTCTGCCTACCGCAAGGTGTACAGAAAGGAAGGAGGGCTGCCGAGCAAGCGACCCACCCCTCGCGGTCCCTCCCTCTGACCCCGCTTTTTCCCCTCCCTGCCCACGCCCCCCGCCGCCGCGCCAGCTCCCGCGAGCAGCAAAGTTGGGTCTGGAAGGGCGGCCGCTGCGGCAGCGGGAGCAGAGAGCCTGCCAGTTCCTGGCAGCTGCGGGAAGAGGGAGGCGCGGGCGGGGCGGGGGCGGGGCGCGGCGCAGGGGAGGGGAGCCGGGCGCAGGGGAGGGAGGGGAGGGCCGGGCCGCCAAGAGCCCAGCGCTCCGGAAGTGAAGCGGCCAGACCACCCGCTAATGGATGCGGAGCACAGTGCCTGCTGACCGCTCTCCGCGCCAGGGTGAGTATGGGGCAGGGCACGTAGGGGCGAGGACCGGAGGGCGCAGCCCCTGGCCTCTGCGCCCCTCTCCTCCACCTTCCTGGCCCAGGAGCCTCTCCCCCACCGCATTGCAGAGGTGGGCCAGGGGCAAGGGCCCGCCGGAGAGAGGGTTCTCTCCCCCTTACCCAGGGTGTGAGCTGATGGATGGGGAAAGAGGGACGAACCGACTGACGCCTGGACACCCGGAGGAGGGGAAGGGGCAGACCATATGGAGAAGTGGGGGCCTTACGAGGCATGGGATACCAAACCTGGTTACGCAAGGGCCTTGGTAGGCTACGCAGAGATTGAAACGAAAAGGTTCTCACTCACTGCACCCACAGTGGTAGGGGGCGCCTAGCATGGCGGGGAGAAATGCAGAGGGGCGTAGCAAAGGCGGGGGAGAAGTGGATAAAGACATAGGTCTACGCGCCGTGGGAGTGTAGCAAAAAGTGCAGTCTGCAAATTCTGGCGCCGAACGGCAACGTGTAGTAAGAGTGGGTAGAGACCTGTTCTATTGCCCGAAGGCGTCGTCTGCCGTAACTGCGCCACTGCACCCGTAAGAAGGGCCCAGGAGAACGTCTTGATTTGGTATCTTCCGCCCCTCCTTCCTTGCCAAAACAGAGGGTAAGACGCAGATTGAAGCCCACTCCCCAAGTCCCCAGCCCTTCTCCGCACCCAGAGTGCCCCGCCTCAATCCCCCGCCCCCGTTGCGCACTGCGCCAGAGCCGCGGGGTTTCCCAGGTTGCCAGACGCCAAGTGCCTGGGATGTAAAGTGCGTGCGCGCGAGTCCCGTGGTGGGGTAGGGGACGGGGTGCACTCTGGACTGTGCCTTGAATTATGCGAGGCCACGCCCGGGAAAGGTGTGTGGGACTTGGTGTGTATGTGCGGCTCTACCAGCTACAGCTACTGGGTTGGTGGGCAGATAACGAGCATTTTGATTTGTGCCGGTAACGCGGTCTCTGAGAGTCCTTCATTGATTATTCCTGTCCCCATGTCTTTTCCATGGATCAATCCCTGCCTCTGGGCGATTACAGCCCCGCCCCTCCTTCCATAGTGGCAAAATCCTGCAGGAATGATGCCCATCCTTTGGCGGCTGGGGAGGGAGATCTGGGCATGCTCAGTAACCAGGGTGGGTTTGGGCTTGGAGAAGCTGTATACCGCAAGACCGTCGCGCAGCACAGTGTGACCAAGGATCCATTCCCATTGTCAGCCCTTGCTCCTGGAAGGATTAAGTTCGGATACCCTCCTCCCCCCACTCCCATCTTGAGGGACAGTTTGGGGAATGGAGTTAAATTTGGAGGACAACCAGTCACAGTTTGAAGACGAGCCCACCATGACAGGTGGGAAAGAGGACCCCGCTGAGAACTGCGAGAGGAGAGGGGAGGGCCTGGGAGGCCCAGAGAACCGGAGGCACGCATTTGGACTTTGAACCAGATGTGCTTCGCATTTGAATAAAGTGCTTCCACACGAATTACATCATTTCCTACCCAGAGTGAGCCCGTGAGATGAGTGCTTTTATCATCACCCATTTCCAGAGCAGGAAACTGAGATTTAGAGAGATTGAGGTGCTTTGGCCAAGGTCACTCACTATCTGGCTAAATGATCCAATAGTTACAGCTGAAAATCTGATTCCTTTTCCAACTTCTCCCATCTTTACATGAGAAAATACGAGATTTTTACTTTTTTTTTTTTTTTCACGTCCAAATATTTCCATTGCAGGTAGAGATCGCCTTTGGAAGAAGCAGCCAGCCAAAGGTAGCCTAAGCTCCGCATGGCCGTTATTATGTAGACCTTGGAGATGTTTCTTCCTGGGCATTCAGTGCCTTTTTACATCTCCTGTTCCCTCTAAATATTACGAGAAGAAGGTTACCCCCTTATCTTAGGAGGGAGAGTGTGGCATGGAGATGCCACTGGGCTCAGGTCCCTAGGGCTGCTGGCTGAAGGTCGGATCCGACATTTTGCCCTCCTGGCCCTCTAGCACATGCCAGGCCTTCTGCACCTTCCAGAAGGACTTGGAAAATGTGCCTGCAGTGACAGCAGGTGCCACCGTAGCTACGGGCTGACATCTGTGGCATATGGACCCCATTTGGACCGATGGGGATGTCTTAGGCCTACCGAAGAATATTCGAGCCCCTTAACACACAACCCCATGACCAACTGGGAGACGGTAGAAACTCTTCCCTTTCTACATCCCCCAGTCTCCACCACTCTCCACAGATGTGCTTCTTGTTTTTCTTTTTTCCTCCAACGACCCAGTCAAGCTTAAGTGTTATGAAGCATTTTTAACATTCATAGCAAAAGAAACACCTAGTTGTGCATTTGCAAAGCCTGCCCGCACATAACAAAAGAGAATTCATAATCCCAAGTTTAACTAACTTGGTTCTGAGATTTCTTTTTTTAATTGTTAAACCTAGGGGCGCCTGGGTGGCTCAGTTGCCTAAGTGTCTGCCTTCAGCTCAGGTCATGATCCCAGGGTACTGGGATCGAGCCCCTGCTCAGTGGGGAGTCTGCTTCTCCCTCTCCCTCTGCCCCTGCTTGTGCTCTCTCTCTCTCACTTGCTCTTTCTCTTAAATAAATAAATTAAATCTTTAAAAAATATTGTTAAACCTATACTAAATTGTTATGCCTATAGTATAGTATATAAGTTAAATTATACCTATATTAAATTGGTTTTAAATGTTTGAGTGATTTCTAATTGTATTTTTAATCAAAGAAATGCAGCAACTCCATTTGTTTAGTAGATTTAATTATAAAGGATTGTCATTTTTTAAAATAAGTGCATTAATAGTCATCATTGGCTATCATCAAAGCCATAAATATATATTATTGTTATTTATGTGTAACAGGTCAGCTTGACTTGGCTGGAGCTAAGACAGACCCAGACACACCATTGTGTGGAGTTGGGTGACATCTTCCTTTTCTAGAAGCTGACTAAATAAGCTCGTGACTCTCACGGAACAACTGGAACACATACACAGGTATCTAGCCACATCTGATTTCGTTCTTCACGTGAGGAAAATCTCGAGTCCTGTCCTCAACTGGGGCTCAGACATTAATTGGCATGCCTGATGAGCAAATGGTGGGGAAGCCAGGTTGCAGGAGGGTCCCCAAAAGAAAAAAAAAAAAGTCAGTTCAAGCAAAAAAGAGGTCTGACAGAGTGGGGCAGATGTAAATCCAATGTGAGACAGAACCCCTGGCCTACCCCCACTTGCGTCATGAACCAAAGCACGATGCTCCCTGGGAAGGAAAAGGCTGTGTGGTAAAACTGACCATTGTTTCACTAGGAGTCCAAGTCACCCTGCTGGGACACATCTCTCTAGGAGCTCGGGATGCAGGGGTGCAGAATGGAGGCCTTTCCCCATGACTAGCCAGAGGAGAGGTGAGGCGAGGCGAGGCGGCAAAGACTGGGAGAGTGGCAGAAACAGCTCTTACAGGTGTCTCGGGCACTCGCAGAAGGGTCAACAGCACCACGTGGCTGCTAGCATCTGGGAGAGAGCAACGGCAGACCCCGGACTGCAGAGCCACAGGGAATGGCACTGTCATAACCGAGATACCGACCAGCCACCTTGGGTCAGGTCTAGAGACATAGCTGGAAGTGCTGAGTTCTTGCCACTGGGCAAGTAAGGGTTATTGGTCCAGAAGACCTTGGGACTGCTGTGGGAGTGGCCTAGGACCCATTCAGGGGTGGAGTAGAAGTTCAGGAGCTCAGGCAGGGTATTCTGAGTCCTAAGGCAGCGTATCTGCACCACAAACTAATCGGCAGCTGTAGAGTTAGAGCGAGCAAATACTCAGAAGATGGCTCTGGCACTGTTGGAGGACTGGTGCAGGATCATGAGTGTGGATGAACAGAAATCACTGATGGTTATGGGGGATACCAGTGGACTGTGATGAGGCTGAGATTCAGGAGGTTCTCCAGGAGACTTTGAAGGCTCTGGGCAGGTATAGACTGCTTGGCAAAATATTCAGGAAGCAGGAGAATGCCAATGCGGTCTTATTAGAGCTCATGGAGGATATTGATGTCTCGGTGATACCCAGTGAGGTTCAGGGAAAGGGGGGGATCTGGAAAGTGATCTTTAAGACCCCTAACCAGGACACCGAATTTCTTGAACGACTGAACGTCTTTCTGGAAAAAGAGGGACAGACAGTCTCGGGGATGTTCCGAGCCCTCGGCCATGAGGGAGTGTCTCTGGCCGCCGTGCCCTGTGTTTCGCCAGAGTTATTGGCTCATTGGTTGGGGCAGGAGATAGCACAAGCCCCTCAGCCTCTGCTGCCCATGAGATACCGGAAACTGAGAGTGTTCTCGGGGAGTGCCGTGCCCGCCCCCGAGGAAGAGCCCTTTGAAACCTGGTTGGAACAAGCCACTGAGATCGTCAAAGAGTGGCCGGTAGCAGAGGCAGAAAAGAAACGGTGGTTGATGGAAAGCCTGCGCGGCCCCGCCCTGGACATCATGCATATAGTGCAGGCGGACAACGCGGCCATCAGCGTGGAAGAGTGCTTGGAGGCATTTAAGCAAGTGTTTGGAAGCCTGGAGAGCCGCAGGACCTACCAGGTGAAGTACCTGAAAACCTATCAGGAGGAGGGGGAGAAGGTCTCAGCCTATGTGTTGCGGTTAGAAACCCTGCTCCGGCGAGCCGTGGAGAAACGAGCCATCCCCAGGAATATCGCAGATCAGGTCCGCCTAGAACAGGTGATGGCGGGGGCCAGCCTTAGGGAGGTCCTGTGGTGCAGGCTGAGGGAGCTGAAGGATCAGGGCCCGCCTCCCAGCTTTCTTGAGCTAATGAAGGTAATCCGGGAGGAAGAGGAGGAAGAGGCCTCTTTTGAAAACGAGAATATTGAAGAGCCAGATGAAGGGGATGGCTATGGCCACTGGGATCACGAGGCAGATGACTAAAAACCAGCTCAGCGCAGGACCCACAGCCAGTGCACCTAGGGACATTCACTTTATCCAGCTGAGACGGCGTGGCTCTTTTTGTCGTTAAATGTACACAACTGAAATCGAGGCTTTGGGGCCAGGTTTGCTGCTTCTTTCTCAGAAAAAATTATCCGAGAGTTGCTTGGACCCTACATAGATGATGAACAAACACCAGATTAAATTCCAAATATGAGATAGGAAGCCTCAAGGAAGCTGAGGCACTTCAGGTCTCCCAAATAGACCAAAGTTTACCCCTACCATAAAAGAAAGAAATGATGTGAGGGAAAAAAATATATATATCTTTTGTAATTTATTTAAAAATCTAAGCTCTTGGACTTGTCAGGTGATTTCCTTTCTCAAGTCAGCACCTTCTCTCTGAGTACCTAGCAGTGTGAGGCGCTGGTCAAAGAGGTAAGGATCCTAAACCTAGGAGCATGGGCGGTGCTCTCAGGGAGCTTACCACCTCCTTGAAGATGTGACCTCGGCATGGGAGAAGCAAATAACTTCATGTGTAAATAAGTCACAACACCCGTAGAAGTGCCATTGCCAAATGAATACAACCACCTCCGCTATGATGTTTCTTTCTTTACTTGGGATGCACTCCTCCACTTTTCCGCTAGGTGTCAGATGGTCAGTTCCAGGCACTGGGTCAGAGCCTCAAGACATAGATGACTCAGCCTAATCGCTGCTTTCAAGAGATTTACAGTATGCCAGACACCTTTGAGAAAGAGTGGACATTATGGGAAGACATGCTAGAGAGGGAGGATTGGATTTAGCGAGCAGACCATTTTGGTCAGAGAAGATTTTTAGTGGCGACAAAGGGGACGAAGGAGAGGAAAGGAGCTCGTGTTTACTGAGGGTCTATTATGTTCCAGGTGTTTTACACATATCTCATTTAATGTACACAGCAACCCCAACAGGGTATCATGTTGCCCTTTTTGAAAGAGAAGATGAAGCTCAGATGAGCTAAGTGGTCTCCTCAATATAGAAATGCTAACAAGTGGCAGAGCTGAGATAGAAGTCCGGAACTTTTGGACTCTTGCTAATCCTCCCGCCACTACAATCCTGATTTTTCAAGTTGTGCTCCACAGTTCTGCAGAGATTTTTCAGCAGTTCCATCTTTAAAATGTATTTTAAACTCCACATCTCTACTGAAAAACAGGTAGATTCAAGTGTATCGATATTCAAATGTTCACACATTGGCATTCACCCGCAGGCTCACTTATGTTTCCAGATGGACTCGTTTTGTGCAGACCTCGGAAGTAACGTTCCCTTGTGATATCTGAGCACATATCTGGACTTAATTGTTCAAAGATTAAAGAAGTTAATGGCACCTCACAGGTGTTTAAATCATGTCCATGCATGCCCTGTGATGTAATGTGTGCTCGTGGAGCATAAATGAGCACCATTCGGTTAAATGCTAGTTGATATATAGCATCATGGTACCTTTTTGTAGACAGCAAACTTCTCTAAACATCAGTTTCCTCGTTGGGAAAATGGGAACAGAATAGAATAGGGTTGTTGTTGGGCTCCAGTGACATAATGCCTTTGAATCCCTTAGCATGATGCCTGGAACATAGAAAGCCTTCAGTACTTAAGACTCATGATTTTCATGATACTTACTGAATGTTCAGTGCATGCTCTCTTTATTGTTCTAACAGTGGTGCGATAACAAGTAAATATGTAATCTGTCAGTCAAGTTGGGACAACATTGCATCAGAAACCATTTTAGCTCTGGTCCATTTGAGTACTTGCTGTCTGTTATCTTTGTGATAAGTATGCCAGCAGCTGGACTGTTGTTAGTGATTGGACTTGGAAACGATAAATTATTCTTCCCAATTGTGGATAATTTTAACGGACGAATATCCTGAGATTGTAAGAAAAGCATTTTTTTAGAAGGTACCATTTGTGATCATTTCTATGTTATAATTTTTCAATACTGTTCAACCAAAATGTCCAGTACACCCTTTCATGGGGTTTTTTTTTTTTGTATTCATGAAAATGGCCTCTTTGTTTTCAATTATTGACAGTATACAAAGTAAAATGTTATAAATGTGAAGTTATTAAATAAATACATGCTAATAAAATGCTGAGGTTTTCATTTCATGTATTTTGATTCTGTATTAGCTATTGCTTGAAGGAGTTTCATTACAAAAAAGAGAAAAATTGATAGGTAAGGTTAGAAAATCAAACCAAAGCCAGAAGGTCTGAACTCTTCTAGATAGGAAAACCTGAGAGCAAAATGCTGGGATAAGAGTACTTGAGCTTTGTCTCCAGGGATGAAAGAAAGCGCAGTCACCCATCATCGATTTCCCTTTTAAAATACATAGAAACAACAGATGGAGGCCTGTTCCCTCAGAGACCTCCAACTCATTTTCTTGAGCAAGTTACTGTACAGATAAATTCACCACGTCTATTCTGCCAAGAGTGAAATGACCTAGAGGTAAAATATTGCATCTTTTGGATGAAGTCATTTTTTTACCTTGCAGATGTGTAGGAGGAAAGTTCCTCTTGCCATTGGCCTTCTCAAAATTGTTTCTCTTCTGCTGTTCTACAGTGCAGTAGGGGAGGAGTCCTCCCTGAGCTGTACACAATGCCGATCGGCCTATTACAAGATGAGTGTCCTGAGGGATGCCCAACACCCTCTCCCAATCACTTGAGCAAAAACCTCTTAAAAAATTGGCCTCACCTTACACTTACTATGTCTCCAGTCCTGACTCTTGGACACTGAGGCCTCCAAGATTACATAGCCCACTGCTGAAGACAACTTTTTTGGTTTTTTGTTTGTTTGTTTGTTTGTTTTTTACCAGGGTCATGAGTTTCTTCAGGCCTTAGAGTCATCTGACATCTCCACCTGCACCAGCCAGTCTGCCAAGCCTTGCATCCTATTGTCATCCGCTGTCCACCCCAAATGCAAGACTCTGATCATCAGTTCTCATCTTTACTCTCCTGTCCACACTGCACTGTGTTTCCTTCCAGTGTTGGTCTTCAAGGTCCAACATGCCTTCCTGGTACTCATGATGTCCTAGACAAACTAGCCTATATCATCAGAGTCCTTGCAAAATACCCTGGCACCATATTCCTTAATTGAACTCTGGTCCTCCAGGTAGCCTGCTGCCCTCAAGTCTCTTGAGTGGAAGCTGCTCAGTCTCCCATCTCAGGAAAGATTGGAGAGTGCTGGTGGCACTTCTTTTAGTTCACCCTCATCACCTCCCCACTTGCAAACACGTTTCCTGGCATAAACTGACTCCCTCTGCCCCACAGTGAGCTGTGGGTCAGTCCTGGCAAGCCTAAACAGAGCATTGGCAAAGCAACCCAATGTGCAAAGAGCCTATTTAGGATGGCATCTGGCCAGATGTTATCTCTAGCAGCAAAAAGTAGGAAGAAAAAGATAACAAATGTAAGCCATATCTAAGGGAGTCCTACAAGTCAAGACTGGGAAAGCAAAGATGGTTGGAAGCTAGAGTTTTGAGGATTGGAGCCTGAAATGAAACATAGACTTGAAGTAAGAGGATCTGAGACAGTATTGTCAAATACACTCAGCGTGCATTTTTTGTTGATCACCAGCATAATCTTTGGGTGGTCTATAAAGACTCAGGATCAGAGCAGACATCTCTCCCATCTTTCAGGGTAGGCTGGGAGCTCCTTGAGTTGCTCAGGGAAGACTTTTACTCACTGAGAAAGTCTCTTGGGGTGCAAGATGGTGTCCAGAGATGGGCTTCTCAGAAACTAGCTTCCCCACTGTAGCAGGCTCTGGATTTGGCCCTGGTGCTGACCTGACTTTCTGCTGTGCCTGAGTGGTCCTTGACATCCCAGATGAACATTTTCTTAAAAACTAGAGTAACTCCAGAAGTGGATGCCAAAATCAATTCGATCATAAGAAAAAAAGGTGTAGGATTTCAATGTCTTTCAGGACACCAGCTGGAGCTGACCATTAATTGTGTGGGGTGCTTAAAGCAGCAGCTGAGGCTTTTTCCCAATCTGCCCCACCCCCACCCACCCTTGAAGGGAAAGGTTACCAAAGGGAGGCATTACCCAGACTATGGGGTAGTGCTGAGGCTAGGAGTCTAGGCAGGAAGTCCCCAGAAAAGGCAGGGAAGGCTCACCTCCATCCCATCCTATCCCAGACCTGCCCCCACTCTGCACAGCCTAAAGGCAGTCCCACTGAAGGCCTTCCCGGTCTTCTTGGTACAACAGCTTTCCCAATTAACTCAGTTACTAACACTGCTTTCTTGAAATAACAAGCAATTGTCACAAAAGTAAACTTCCTTTTTTCCAGCTTTATTTAAGGTATAATTGACAAGTAAAAATTGTGTATATTTAAGGAGTGCAATGTGATGTTTTGATGTACTTATGAATTGTGAAGTGATCCCCACAATCAAACTAATTACCTCACATGGTTACCGTGTGTGCACGTGCACACGTGTGTGGTGAGAACACTAAAAATCTATTCTCTTAGCAAATTTCAGGTACACAGCATAGTATTATTAACTATAGTCATCATGCTGTACATTGGATCTCCAGAACTTAAGCAGCCTGTGTAAGTGAAAGTTTGTACCCTTTGGCCAACATGTTTCCATTTCTCTCACCTCCCAGCCCCTAGTAATGGCCATTCTACTCTCTGCCTCTACGAGTTCTATTTTTTTAAGATTCCACATATAAGTGAGATAATGCAGTATTTGTCTTTCTGTGTCTGGCTTATTTCATTTAGCATAATGTCCTCCAGGCTCACACATGGCAGGATTTCCTTCTACGAAAGTAAACTTTATATTGTAGGTGAACTTAAGAAAGGTGGTGGAAACCAGGTTGGGGAATAAGGGACATTGAGTTCTGCTAACTAGTGGTCACATTGCATTCCCTGGTAAAATCCCATGCAAGAGATGGCAAGCCTCTGATGAATGACATTTGTTGAGCTTGGGAACCCTGCTATTCCAAAATAGTAGCTAGTGGACATTTTAAAGGTTCTCAATAGAAAGCTTCTACATGAGCCTAAGACAACTGTAAAAGTCTCGGGCTAGATGTGCGGCCATCTTGGGAAAAATATCTGCCGAATCCAGAATTGCCAATTACTGTTTCAAATTGCAGGGTGATTTATGGGTCTAAAACTAAGGTAGTAATCCTTTGGACTCCCAAGTCCTGTCACTGGCCTGGGTTTATGACCTACAAGTGGCAATGGGGGGCAAGGACCCAGTCATTAGAGGTCCCAAAGGCCATATTCAGGCCCTTGAATGGGCTTTTGTAGATCACCAAATGGGCACCTAGGCAGAGCTATGGAATCCCCACTTCCGCACAGGGACCACTAAGTTTTATCAGTAGCTGAACTGCCTGGGAGCTATTCCTCCTTGACTAGGGTCCACCCAAAAGTTCTTTGATGCTTCAGAACACACAATTACATGGATCTGAAATGTTTTCCACTGGTAACTAGAATATTTTTGGCTCGGCTTAGGAATCCATCAAAGCTGTAGTGCAACTTTGAGCACATGTATCTCCTCTGTTACTAGGCAGGATGTGGTGTGTGCCAGGAGAGGGCAGATTAACCTGAACTGGACTTCTGCTTATGAAGTAGACAAAACCCTCATAGGCAAAAGGATTGGAACTGATATATATTGAGGAGGAGAAGGGGTCCTGTATGTCTCCTACCCACCCACCCCCACTCCTGACACTTCCAACCTACATCAGAAACAAAGGAGAGAGCAACAGAAATTTTTTTTAATATTTTATTTATTTAATTAACAGAGAAAGAGACAGCGAGAGAGGGAACCCAAGCAGGGGGAGTGGGAGAGGGAGAAGCAGGCTTCCCGTGGAGCAGGGAGCCCGATGCGTGGCTCCATCCCAGGATCCTGGGAAAGTGACCTGAGCTGAAGACAGATGCTCAACTGACTGAGCCACCCAGGCGCCCCAAGAGAGCAACAGAAATTAAACCCTAAGGAGTAGAACAAAACATAAGCAAGAGAAAACAGACAACCCAAAAAGAATAAGCATGAAGAAAATCATACATAGGCACATCATAGTCACACTGCTGTAACCAAAAATAAACTGCTATAAACCAAGAAAATCTTGAGAGCAGCCAGAGGAAAATGAGATATTACATACAAAAGAATAGTCATAGGAATTCTGCTGACTTCTCATAAGAAAACATGGAGACTAAAAGACAGGGCAATAATATCTTTAAACCACTGGATAGAGATTTTTTTATTGTTCAGCCAAAGTTTAGTAACAATTTGCCTATAAAATCATCTCAACCTGAAACATATATGGAGGCGGTTGGCCGTGTGGGGAGTTGGGACAACTGGGGAGAAACTTCTAAGTACTGATTAGATTTCTTTAATGGTTTTTGGAATATTAAGTTTTTCTATTTTCATCTGAATTCAACTTTCATGGTTCAAATATTCTACTTTTTCCATTTTATCTAAGTTTTTCAAATGTATATAGTCAGTATTCTCTTCAGTTGTTTTAAATTATTAACAATTCTATAGTTATGGCTCCCTTTTCATTCCTAATATTAATTATTTGTTGGTGGTTTTTTCTCTTTCTTTCTGGGTTAATATTCTCAGAAACTTACCTATTTCATTAATGTTTTTCAAAGGATCAGCTTTGGGGTTAGTTTTATATTTTTTAATCATTTTATTAATTTCTGTTCTTATTTTTATTACTTTTCTATTATTACTTTATTAATTTCTGTCCTTATTATTTCTTTCCTCTCACCATGATTAGAATTAATATGCCATTTCATTTTTATCTCCTTGAGGATTCTTCCTTGTTTTCTGTGTTTCATGATTTTTCAAGAAATGTATTAAGTGTAAGAATTTATGTCTAAGTACAACTTTAATTACATCCCATTATTTTGCTATGTGATATTTTAAATATTTTCATTATGACTTTTTTCAGTAAAGCATGAATTAGTTTTGGAGGGAAGCAAAGTAATTATAACAATATTATTGATATTGTCATTGATAATAAATATATATTTTGGTCCTCCAGCCACAGTTTCTTGCTTACAGCTCCCCAAACCCTTGGAATTTCCTAAGTGATAAGAACAATGGGACCATATTTTGTTCCATTTGGTCTCGTTTTCC